AGCTAGAAGGCTTATGCTCTGAGGAGGAGGAGGCTTAAATCAAATTGTTAAACCATGACTGCTACTGAGTCTAGCCTTTGTTCCCAGTTACTGAAGAGAAGCACTGAGTGGAAACCAAAAGCTTCTGTAGCATTGCTATAATGAAATATTTCAGCATACTCTGAAATCCTAGCTATTTTAACATTTCAGTCTTTGAAAGAGGAGTCCTCCTCAGAGCTGCTTAATATGAGGATCAGGACCCCAAGTTGTGCATCTTTTGTAGAAGTTCAGATATCTAGAAAGCTCTTCTGTACTTTACAGAAACACCATATAAAAGCTATGTGATTTTCAGCACTTTGCCAGAGACAGAGATTTCTTCCCTATAGTGTTTTTGTGAAGAGCAATTTAGAAACATTAGAGCTCATGCCGCTCACACCTGTGAACTGTTATAAGCTTGAGCAAATCCAGTAAGCTACAGTAAAAAAAAAAGCAAGCCAACAACAGAGCAAGGAGGAGAACAGAACCATAGAGCTGTAGTAGCACTTGTAAGTTCTTCAAATAGAGACAGAGCAAAACAGGAGTCTGATACAATCCTTATGCCCTACAGTTAAGAGGGAAGGCTTTATACATCCAAAAGCATAGACCAGGTTCTTCCCCAAATCCACCTGAGAAAATATCTGTGGACTTTCTTCATACTCCTGCAGGAGAAGGAAGCCATTACAGAGACCTTTATGCTTTCCTCCAATACAAAGAAAGTAAATAAGTTTTTTTACAGCAGAGTGCTAAAAAAATCTGCTTGAAGACCTGCCACAGAACCCAGGAGCAGCCCCCAGCCCCACCTACGTAGTGCCACTTGCTAGCCAGGTGTTCACAACTTACCTAATGATGGTTATAAACTGTGTCATGGTCAGCTCCTCAGGAACAAGAAACTTGGTTTTGTCCAAGAGAGGAAGGTATTTTTCCTTATGGTACCTTTCAACAATCACCTGTTTTAATTAGAGTCACACTCAGAAAAATCCCTAAAATATTTAGTTCCTTTTCCCCCTCCTCCCTACCAGCATTTAAGAAAAAAAAAGTTTTCAGCATTTCTCTTAAAAAAAAACAACAACAACAACCTTTGCTAGCAAAACAGAGAGATTTACCGGGATTTTTGTTGGGAACTTCGCCCGGATCCCAGCGACTTCTTCCAGCCTAGTCGCTGCGCAAGAGAGAAAACGAGCGTTACGCGTGTGCGCAGCCCCCAGCGCCCCGCGCAGGCCCCCCGGCGCCCCCAGCTCTCCCCTTACCGAAGCTCTTCCGCAGCTTGAAGGGCCGGGAGGGGGCCGGGCCC